ATAATGGAATTTTTTGTTATTCACACGTCACGGATCACTGCTTCCCGACTCAGGTAGTGTAGTGCAACAACGATAACGCAAGACACAAGACTGGGCGTCGCGAAGTATTCAAATTCAAAACAGAGATATTAAAACGGGAGGAGACTGAAATCGCAATAGCCAGTGAGCTTTCATCGGCGTGGTTATTTTTTTACATGTATAATTTTTAGAAGTTAAAGTGATCGGGTAAGCAAGCTGGTTAACTCGCGAATAAAACAGAAAATGTGGTGCTGTTGGCAAGCTCTAATTAACGAAGTATTACCTTCTTGGAATTAACTTCAGAACAAATGCTCTACCGCATTTGTTGAATTATACGTATTTGCTACGTTGATTGATGTAATTTTTGGTGACTAGTTCATATGCACTAGTGATCGAATTAATTTGAATATTATACATTATGAAATTCCATATTTTCTTACTACAACACTTACATTCAGAATGATTTATTCAGTACTCATGTATGATCCCTTAAAATGCTAATCACTTTTGTGGATAATAAATTATTAATCAGTGAACTGCAATAAATTATTCCAAACACTATTTGCATTGAACAGTGAGTCAATTTGCTGACAGCAGCCAATTTACACATGTAACAACACCACTGAATATGCAGTCAAATCCATTACGAAATGAACCACTTCAGGTTTTTAGATGCCATATAGTGGTATTAATCTCTTTCTTCAGGAGTATATCGTCTTTCTTTGCGTGCTCTCTAGACGAAGATTTTTTTTTCACATCGTATTGTGGTATTTGAGGTGCCAACAAGAGTTATACCAATTTCTAACGAAAAAGCACAGAATAATGCCGTTTGCTTAGTCTACCGAGTGAGAGTTTATGTCCTGATTCCATATTCAGTTCGAACGGCAAACATTTTAAAGCTTTTATAAAGTTTCCATCTCTAAATATACAAAATCATCAGTGCAAATAAGCTCAGTGGTGATCAGCAATCTTTAATAAAACAAGTATTACATAACGTTCACATTTACGCGTCGATTGCAGTATTGAAAATATTATATCATTACAGCGATTCTTGGTACAGTTGAATTCTTATACACAGGCTCTTTGACAGGGATGGCTTTTAGTGAGTTATTCGTATAGAACGAACCAGATAAGATAGGTAGGTAGTCATGCGAAACTCTACTTGAAAAGTGCCATTTAGATAGTCATCATTGTTAAACCCTTTTAAAGTGAATCAAATTGTGTGACAATTTGAATACATAGAAAGCGGAGACGAGAAGTGGCTTCACAGTTCGATGTTTGATGTTGTATAGTTTCCATTGTCTGATTCTATCCAACATTCAGTCACAGCTATATTCAGGAACTTTCTCGCATTCCGAAATTTAATAGTCCCATATCGGTTTTAAGGTGTTTTTCGATCGGAATGGTTTTCAGAATGCTGCATTCAATTAAAATGTTCTCTTTAAATGGAACGTCGTTTAAAATCCAATCAAAACACCTTCAATGTGGAAACTTTCAGAAAATGGCTAGTGTGCGACGAAAAAAGTGAACTGAATGATATTCTGATCAAGTATTCACACTTCTTTACGAGATCAAGAAACAAGCCTCAAACAGATTATCCGTTCTAATGAATTCTACACCCAACATCATATTTGATTTCGATTTCCGATGCACTTATTCAGACATACTATGCACTTGACGAATTTATACGGTAAACTAACATACATTGCTGCTGGTTATTAAAAAACGAGTGTGTTTTCTGCTATCTTAGAATGTGTCGATTATTTTGCGATATTTCATAGCCAGGCAATGACCGAGCTATCGTAATAAAAAAACGGAAAAGGCAAGCGAGCCGCCAGGGGGCACTTGTTCAATATTTTTTCAAAAAATTTTAATAGTTGCTCGACTTACACTTAACAAGATTAGGAGATAACGGTTTTTTCGGTGTTCACCAACTCGACTATACATGAAAGTCATGCTGGTGTGGTGCGGGAATGAAGAAAGTTGGGACGGGGAAGGTCGAGGACCCCAAAAGTGGTCGCTCTGAAAAAATTGTGGACTGGGGCGAATGGTGAAATGAGACTGAAGCGAATTTGTTAAAAATGCAGCAACTAATTTTGTCACCAAATATCTACCATGGAGATCAGTTCACTAATTGGTGATATAATGTTCATTATTAAAGATAAGTTCCAAAATAAATATCGAACGAAAATTGAATTATTGCACATCACAGTCATGTGCCTTAAGGCATTTCGGGCAATCAGTATTCAATGAACAGATTTATCATCTATCACAGGAAACATCGTGATCTGATCAGATTTAGTGATCAATCAGAGTATCGAAAGTTGAAATCGGACCGAGAACGTCGCAATGCCTAATCAAAAGTAACTGACTTCCAACAAACGAATTCTGCAGCAACAAATTCAACTCATAACCCTCTGAATGCCACTTTGACTTGTTCATCCATAAATTTGACTTCTAAATGTCGCTTTCTTGTTCCCCTTTCAACATGTTTACTCAAGTTTCAAATCAGATTATCAATGTGATTTGCAAGGGCACAAAACGAAAGTTGTACAGCGCCACATTCGTACGTCAGATGCATTACGTAATAGAGAAATGAGAGAAGTTTGAATATTGAAGGATAACGAAATTAATATTAGGTAAGTTACTCTAGAGAAAAAGAATGTAATGAGGTAACTGGATATTGCTAATAGTACCTAAATTGGCTGAAATGTGTAGGTTAAGGGGATGTAAAAGAAACGATTATTGCGGATTTCTGAAGCACCGACCGATTTTGGTTTCTGTTGGTTAGAAGCCACTCCGTGCAAAATTTCAGCCGAAAATTTTACACTCGAATTTGACACAAACCGGTTGAAGTTTTCAAAGAGCTCGACAAAAAGCAAAGACTTTCAGCAAAGACAGCTGAAATCGGTTAAAGATTAAGCATTGTTCATCGCTGCTCGACTTTACAAATTTGTTCTCCGACATTCGAAGCAAATGATTCTTTTGATTTTAGGAAAGCTACTTGCAAAATTCCGCAGAAATCGAACCACATTCCGAGCCGCACGAACTTTTTCGTATAGCAGAAAGCGCCTATTGCCACCGACGCGTCTCCTTGTTAGTCGTTTTTTTGAGTTTTTCATACGATTTTCGTTACGTAAGGCAGAAATGATTCAAATTATCCAAATAAAAAACGATCGCTGTGAATTTTCCGCAGAAAAAAACGTTACAAGTGGCACCCGCGACCAGTGCTCGAACTTCGGCAGTGTTCTTTGAACAGCGTATGCTATCACTGATTACGAATAACTGACTCCTTCACTAAATAAGGGGTACAGTTAGTGGCGCATTACTTTCTCAACGATGAACGTTCCCTAAGCATGTTACAGAACAGATAAGAACAACTTCGGCCAGTCTTTGAGCGATATGTGAATGTTGCATGTTTCAGCTGAAAGTTTGCAAGGATCCATCTTTGACAAATTTGAATTTTTTCTGCTTTCTACATCAGGAAGCAGAGAGAAAAATGTGAAAAAATCGACCAACACGAAGGAATGCCCGATTTATTGCTGTGCTGAGAAGTTCGAACGTTTTGCGTCAGCTCTAACAATCAGTGCAACAGTTATTCAGCAACGTCAACCAAAATCAGCCGGCGTTTCAGAAATCGGAGAAGAAATTTTCACCCCAATTTCGTATCGCTTTAATGTAGACGCAATTGATATGAGTACAATTAATAGTTGCTTCGTAAAAGGTAACTTAAAAAAAGTGAAATGCGTAGCTGTTGGTGTGCTGATAATTTAGTGTTTTAAGTCTTAATGATTTAGTTAGTCTGTGTCGATTCATCCAAATTGAAAAATTCAATTGCGTAGATGCACCTCAAAGAGAATATTTGATACGAAGAGGCAATAAGCCAATCTATTTCCATTAAACTAATGAATAGAAATCTAATGAATAGATGAATATTTCAAAACGTAAAGGACATAATTGCAGCATTGGTGGCATTCGTGAAAATAGCTAGCAATTGATGAGCCATTAAGATGTAATACGATGAAGAGACAATAAAAA